AATATAGCCTGGGAAAGTGATTTTAAACTATTTCTTCCTCTTCCTATGGAAAATGGGTTGATTGGTTTAACATTTAAAGAGCTTAGAGCTTAATAACTTGCACCATGGGAAGAGTTGAATACACGATAGCTGTGATGGATGATGATAATATAATTCGAAACTGCTGTTTTACTTCTAACTCACAGAAACGGTTATCCTACCTCCTCCAGTTGCTGTTATCTATTATTTGTATGTCTTCTTTCTTGTTTAACATAGATAATAGCCAGAGTGTGTTTGTATGCTTTGCCTGCAGAACAAGTAGTGAAGGCTTTCAGATACCCACAGCTACTGGATACCTTCTAGGAGCTTTTCTGACCTTTGAGTTCTACTGGATATCTATCTTATGTGAAATTAGATATTATGTTGTCTGTTTGGCAATATTTATGGTATTGCTTGGTTAGAGTGGAGGTAAAAATGGTAGCTAATAACAATATAATGTACTGATTGCTGGGCATTATACATTTACACATAGGTTAACTCATTTAATTCTCACAGCAACTACATAAGGCAGGACTGTTATTCTCATTCCACAGATGAGCATGCTAAAGAGAATAGTTTGCTAACCTAAATTCACATAGGTAGTTAATAGATAAGCCAAGATTTAAGCCCAGGTGGTCTGCTCTGGAGTAAATAATTCATCAAAATACTGTCTTTTAAAAAGATTGGAGTGTAAAATCCATGCGGGCATGCACTATAAGTCACTCATATATCACTGAAATTCCACTTCTTACCACTGTGACGGGTAAAAGTGACAACCTCAATAAATCTTGCCCAAAGCATGACTGATTGACCCAACAGTGAAGAGGATGGACATTTCATGTTCCAAATGCAATCTGGAGCATGAAGCAATCCTGATAATCATTCTACAGCTGCCCTTTACCTCCTAGGCTCTTAGGACACGTATTTACTGTTGAGGAGGTGCCATAATACAGTTCTTTGTCTTATTAGCTGTCGTGTGAGAGCATTCTTATTTGTGGTGGAAACGTTTTGCCCACCATTTGACCAGTGATTTCCAATAATGGAAATAACACAAAATAGTAAGATGACTTCCAAATTGGTTCTTCTTATTTTAGCTGCATAATTACCACAGTTGTATCAAACACACGCATACATACCCCAAATGTTTGCTAACAAAACAAATGTGTGTGTTTTTTTTCCAGTTTATACTTAGAAAATTCACAGCTTTGTGGTGGCATGTGGCTATAGATCTGAAAGCTGAGAGCATGATTTTGGCTCTTGTTTTCTGTTTGCTTGACTGAATAGTTTATTATAACTACAATTTTAAAATTCCAGAAACATGAAACGATCTTTGCCAGAAGTACAACTTCTTTCCATCTAAAATGCCAGCATTTCAGTGTGTCTTGCAACATTTTAATTAGTTTGCTTATGGAACCAAACACATGCATAAAACACTGACAGCAAAGGGAAGTCTCCCTCACCATAATTAGTTTTTGCAAAGGATCACTTACATTTTCATAATTATTCAAATGTTTTTGTACCGGGAATTTTACATTTTAAATGGATAATTATACTTCCATAAAAAATCACTGCAAATTGGAAGCTTTAATACACCATTCTAATTGTTGGTACAGTGCACTGTTGGTATTGCCATTAGATCACACATTTGTTGTTTAGAAAGATAGATTTGCTGTATCAACCCGTTAAATGTGAGTTATTGCTAGAAGATTTGCTGTCCTTTCATGTAGCATTCTGTTTTCAAAGGAAATCCAAGCTATACAGGTTTTAATAGTTAAAGAAGTTCAGAATTTTCCCATCTGAGTTAGCAATAAGTGTTTCAGCTCATAAAATTTTTCTGTAGATGTTGTAGAAATAGGCTGAGCTCTCTACAAAGAAGGTAAGGGAAAGACTCAAGATTTCTGTAACTAAATTAGAGTCAATTGATAATTTTATATATTACTACTAGTATCACTGTGCCAGATAGATTTATTATTTAGAGAAAGTTATAATTTATAGCATATACATTATATATTAAGTACAAATATAATTACTGATAATTATATATTTATATAACATAATAGAAATACATATTAACTCTTAAAAGTAATTTTAAGTAATAGAAATGAGCATGAGTGGAAACAATGATCTTCTCTGCCTTATCACCCTGATAAAGGCACAGGCAATATCATGAGCTCTTGCTAGGAAGTTAGGTAAGTTCATACCCTGGTAAGATAGAAAATGTAGCATGATTTCTAACTTTGGATTTGTGAAGAGTTCCTTTTTGCTCCCAAATAACTACTGATGTTGACCAAGGCTTTGCTAGATGTAATCATGAGAAGAAGAAAGCATTACATTTATGCCAGTGCCAATAAACCCCTAAGATGACAGTGCAATTGCACTGGCAAATCAGGATTTTTAGCTTGGAGATTCTTCTTTTCAAAGAAAATAAGCATCCTATAACCATTGCTCAGACCTGACATATCCTCACAAATTTTTTTTTTTTAAAGATAATTTGACAAAGGCCCTGTGAAACAATAACAGAATCTGAATTTGGAGTCAGGGTAAAATGTTCCTTTAAAAAATTATTTCCCATTTAATATTTGTCTTTAAAGCTAAAATAAAACAGATAGGTGGAAATTGTTGTGTTTGGGTGCTGGAAATGTTACACATAAAGCTTTGTGTTAAATCAGGCGCACATGTGAAAGCTCCAGGGAGCCTAGAAACAGAAATAAATTCTCACTCAATAGCTTGGCATATATCATCAACAGACATGTGACAGTGGCACAGATTGTGCCAAAAAAGGTAGTAAGTTATCAGGAAGATAATTTTGTGTAACCTGGGTCAGCTGAAGCATGTTAATGCACTTAAATGAGGAGAACATTTGAAGGTAATTACATACTTACAGACTGCATGGTTTGGCTGTCCTTTTTTTATTGTGGAAAGAAAACATGATGTCATAAGAACATGCATCCAGTGTTTCCAAGGATAAGAATAAAATAGCTTTTTGTATTTAGTGTTGTGTAAGACATTTAAAGCCTATTTCATCATTTATTCAAATATTTGTTCCAAGTCCAAAACCGACATATCTTTCGAGAGAATGATAATCATTTGCTAATAATTATCCTTTACATGTCTAAACCAAGTCACAACCCACAAATAATTAGTTTCCAACTGTTGCATCAGAACATTGTATCAGAAAATCATAACTGTATTCCTGTGTAATTTGGAGAATGGCAACTTTGGAAAATAATAAGCATATTCTAGAAATGTATCCTAGGAGACCAAAGTCCAGTCCAAACTAGTTTATTATAACTACAAGTTTAAAAAATTGTAGTTGTAAGAAACAAGTTGGTTGAGCTTTGTTATGTAAGGTTGAACCACGACCATTCCTACAGAAACAATTCTAAAAACTTGAGGAGGAGGGACTCCTCCCCAATTCATTCTATGAGGCCAACATCATCTTGATACCCAAACCTGGCAAAGACACTACAAAAAAGGAGAAAACTTCAGCCCAATGTCCTTGATGAACATCAGTGTAAAAATCCTCAGCAAAATACTTGCAAACCAAATTCAGCAGCACATCAAAAAGCTAATCCGCTATGATCAAGTAGGTTTCATCCCCGGAAGGCAAGTTGGTTCAACATACACAAATCAATAAATGTGATCCATCACAGAAACGGAACTAAAGACAAAAAACCACATGATTATCTCAATAGATGCAAAAAAAGGCTTTTGATAAAATTCGACACCTCTTCATGGTAAAAACTCTAATTAATCTAGGTGTAGAAGAAACCTCAAAATAATAAGAGCCATCTATGACAAACAGTCAACATTATACTGAATAGGCAAAAGCTAGCAGCATTCCCCTTGAATACCAGCTCAAGACAAGTATACTCTCTCTCACCACTTTTTTTCAACACAGTATTGGAAGTCCTAACCAGAGCAAACAGGAAAGAGAAAGGAATAAAGGGCTTTCGAATAGGAAGAGAGGAAGTTAAACTATTTCTGTTTGCAGACAACATGATTCCATACCTAGAAAACCTCATAGTCTAAGCCCAAAAGCTCCTCCCACTGATAAACAACTTTAGCAAAGTTGCAGGATACAAAGTCAATGTACAAAACTCACTTAGCATTCCTAGACACCAACAACAGGCAAACCAAGAGCCTGATCAGAAAGAAACGCAATTCTACTTACAATTGCCAGAAAAAGAATAAAATACCTAGAAATACAGCTAGATATTAATATGAAGAAAATATGTTTCGTTTTTTCATGGATTTTACTTTTCTTGGGAAAAGTATACTTTTTTAATGTTGAATATTTGTGAATATTTTTTTTTGAGAAGGAGTCTTGCTCTGTCCCCCAGGCTGGAGTGCAGTGGCGCGATCTCGGCTCACTGCAAGCTCCGCCTCCCGGGTTCACGCCATTCTCCTGCCTCAGCCTCCTGATTTGTGAATATTTTTATACAGTCAAGATCACCTATGCAGGAAACATTTGTCATAATACCGAGCACCTAAACATGCCTTTCACGTACCATCTAGCCTTGTTCCCCAAGAAGACTTTTCAAGGTGTTAATTTGCCAATTTGCTTAAAAATGTAAATTTGATTAAATTTACAGTGAGCTATCTAGAGACACAGACATAATAGAAATGTCTTGTACTCATAAAAGAGTAATTAAATAAGAACACATATGGAAAATTTTACTAATATCAGGCCTGGTCTGGAGACAAAAGCCAAATCTGATTACAAACATATGTCTCAGATCACAGACAAACTTCTAAGCTCTGAGACAATTTAGCAATAACTTAAGTCACATCAGAACACACACATCCTAATCTACTTTTGCCAATGATGGCATAGTTCCTGGGTTTTCTCCCCCTTAAAGCAAAAATAAATAAATTAAAAAGCAAAGGCAAAACACATAGCATATCTAATATTCCACAATATTGGCCATAATTTAGATCATACCACTAACAGACAGACAGCAAACATTCATTTAGTACTTACTCTTTAACAAGAGCCTGATTAGTGAATGTACATTTGCAACAAAGTAAGAAACAATGCTGCTCTCAAGAAGGTGAATCTAGAATTAAGAGATTACAATAAACATTTTAAAAAGCAGCATAAAAGGCTTCAAAGATATCCTACCTCTGGAGATGATTAATAAAAACACAAAACAGAGCAGGGTAAAAATAGTTTAAGTGTTTCTCTATCTGGAAAAGAAGGCGGGTCTGATTTATTATTTATTTACGAATTCTATAGTAGTGTCATTTTTAATATCTAGTGTATCTTATTCTTGCCTTAGGCTATACCAACTATCTCCAGGTCTGCTGAACGAAAAGCAGAGGAGAGAATTGGTGGGGCAGCGTCTTTGCCCTTAAACAGCCTCCATTCTGCTCGTTTCTCCAAAGATGTACAGAGCTATTGAATCAACTTTTTTGTTTGTTTGTTTCCCTTTTATTAGAGACAGGGTTTTGCTCTGTTGCCCAAGCTAGAGTGCAGTGGTGTGATCATGGCCCACCGTAACCTCCAATTGCTGGGCTCAAGTGATTCTCTTGCTTCAGCCTCCTGAGTAACTGAGACCATAGACAGCCCCACCATGCCTGGTTAATTATTATTATGATTATATATATATATATTTAGAGATGGAGTTTTCATGTGTTACCTAGGATCATCTCCAGCTCCTGTCCTCAAGCAATCTTCCCACTATGGCCTCAAAAACAGCTGGGATTTCAGTCATCAGCCACCGCAGCAGGCTCTGAGTAGTCTTTTAGGTAGACCTGCAAACACAGTTCCCACCCCATCTTTTATTACTGTTTTTCATCTTTGAACTTCTCTCCCTTGATTAATTCTTTGCATCTCTTGAAAGCCAAATATAACCACTATTCAAAGGAACTTTATTATCTGTGGAACCCCCCAAACAATCACCGTCATACTCAAGCTTTATTTAAAAAAAAAATGTTAATTGAAATGTAGTATGTGTATATAAAAGCACACAAACACAAATCATAAGTGTACAGTTCAATGGATTTCCACAAAGTAAACATATCTGTGTGACTACCATTGAGTCAAATAATAGAATATTACCAACACCCCTAGCAGCCCCCACAATGCTACCCCTTGGAAATCAATCTTCCTCTAATAATAATCATAGATTAGTTCCACCTAATACTGAGTTTTATTTAAATGGCATCATGCAACATGTACTCTTTTGTACCTGGTTTGTTTCGTACAATATCATGTTTGAATGATTCATCAATGTTGTTATATGTAGCAGTGGTTTTTTATTATTATTATTATTTTCCTGAAACGGAGTCTTGCTCTGTGGCCTAGGCTGGTGTGCAGTGGCATGATCTGGGCTCACTGCAACCTCCGCCTCCCAGGTTCAAGCAATTCTCCTGCCTCAGCCTCCCAAGTAGCTGGGATTACAGGCATGCAACACACGCAGCTAATTTTTGTATTTTTTTTAACAGAGATGGGGTTTCATCATGTTGGCCAGGTTGTTCTCGAACTCCTGACCTCATGATCCACCCGCCTTGGCCTCCCAAAGTGCTGAGATTACAGGCGTGAACCACCTGCCCAGCTGGTTTATTATTTCTCAGTGCAAAATTGTTTTCCATTATATGAATGTACCAAAATATATTTACCCATTCTGGGGTTGATGGAAAGTTTGGGGCTGTTATAAATAACACAACCATAGGCAATGTAGCACATGTTTTTGGTGATTATCTGTTACATATAGTGTGTCTACTGTACTCTTCTGTGTATTTCCTCTTACAGTCTAGATATTTTCTTTTGATCTGTCTTCCAGATCATTTATCTTGAGCTGCATCCCTCTATCATACTATGAATTTTAGTTATTGTATTGTTTCAATTCAAAATTCTCCATGTGATCATCCTCTTATAATTCTCCACTTGGTCATTTGTTTGAAGATACTAATCAAAACTGTTTTAAATTTGTTTTCTTATTACTGTAGTATTTGTGTCACATGTGGATATGTTTCTGTTGCCTATTGTTTCTTCTGATGCTATTAATATCTCTAAAAAAATTTTGCTTTCATTACCAGTCTTCTGAATGAGAAATTTTAGTGATAATTTAACCTATCCTCTCGCAGGCCAAAAAGAGCTATATTACTCAAATCTGATCAGATCTTGAAATGACTTAGGCTAGTTTGCAGCTTCAGTAAGGTTCAGGATACCTCTAATTTTCGCCATATACATGGTGCATCCCTCAAGGTATCCTAATCAGAGCTTGAGTGTTTGCTAGGGCCATTCTTCCTTGAACGCACTGAAGTAGAAGTCTGGTCTCCCTAGAACTGTGGAAATGCTGAAAACTTCATATTACCCTTCAAGTATGTTTGGCTTCTTTCAACACACTTGATGCTTGGCTCGTTTGCATCTTGTCCTGTGTAGTTAATCAGATGACTCAATGGAAGAACAGGTATTGATTGCCAATCTCACTTTAATTTTGTTTTAAATTTTCAT